TCAGCACGCACCCGCCACCAAGGTTCAAACCCAGGACCTTCGAAGTACAAGGCGAGCTTGTAGACCGTTAAGCCACCGTGATGCGATCCAATGGCCAGTCCATGAATTCCAACTTCTGCCAATTCATGACATAGCGCGACTACTTCGCAGTCTTTTTCGATGAGTTACTGCCTCACCTCAAACCTACTCTACCCTGCTGGTCACGACTTCCCAATAGAACCCCAGGATAATTGCTTGAATAGGGCCAGTCGCTGTTGAGCATCAGAATTATTTTCAAGTATTGGTTTTGTAGGGATTTTTTATTGATTGGTTGGAGGATTTCATAATTAGCTTACATCATGAGCCACTGGATCGAGTCTCTGGGGATTAATGGTCTACGATCTCGCCTTGTAACCCAGAGGTCCTGAGTTTGAACCCCTGTGGTGGGTGAGTACTGGTGAATAGTCTCAAACTAGGATGAAATAGCTGGCCGTCTATTACTCCCAGCTGGCTTTCAATGGTTCTCTAACAGATGTCAGCTCATGATGAAAACACAATGTAATCTAAAGAAAATTGGTGAATATTCTCAAAAAAAGAACAGAACGGTAGATGCATGGTTTGGTCAGTCACTTTCATGTGCTCAAAGTGTGTTACGATTTGTCTTATTGACTACGATTCTGTGAAGGTCATGTTATCTTTATGCTAAATAATACTTGCAGACTTAGAAACTGTGGCTCATCTATGTCTAACATGCGTGCATCTTCTTACAGCATACTGGTAAGTCCATTGATATTAGGAGCAGATTTCGGTGTACAGTAATATTAATTATTATTGCGCGCTTTAATTCCAACTGGAACAAAGGTCTTCAACAGAGCATCTCTTTTGTCCTGTTCTCAGTGGTCCTAGTCAGCTGGCTACACAACTGCCCGTATTCTCTCACCTGATACTCACACGATCTACTCCGTATCCCCCTTAGACTGTCAAAGCGTGGCTTTCCATCCAGGCTCCACTCGAGTCTCTGCCTGGCTCTCGATATCACCCAATGGTCTTCTCATCATGTGTCCGACCTATTCATCTCTATTTGTTGAGCAGCAGGTTGTAATTTGGTTCGATCTCAGAGTGTTTTCTTGCCGATTCTTTCTGACAGACCATCTGATCTTCAGTATGGCGCGAGAGAAAGCAGATGTTAATAAAAGTTTGCAGCGAGCTGTTGGAAATGCTCTTGGTGACATGCCAAGTTCCTGACCCAAACAGTAGAACTGACTGACTTAACGTTCGTGTGAAAAATCAGAATTTCTTTCTTTGTGCTGACTGAGTGAAACATATTTCCAAACTGAGATCAGAGTGATGACTGGTTTTGACATCGTCATCTGTGCTAACTTCCCGTAGTTGAAACGAAGCTTCTTAGACAAGTGAAGGAAGTGACCTCTTTCTCCTGACATTTTCTTAGTTTTCACCTGGAATTCTTCGAGTTTATATGACTTAAGACATAAATCATCTGCGAAATACAGGTATTATATTTCCATCTAATGTATTGCTGCCATCTCGCTCCCCACGCACAATCTTACAAAAATTCCGGTTCACCACAGTTATCAACATCAGAGGTGATAGCAGGCAACCCTGTCCTGCTCCGATCTTGATTTCAGAGGCTTCTCTGAATTTTCCGCTGTGGATCACATAACGTGTAACATTATCATACAACTGTTGAATGAGGTTGATAACGATTTCCGTCAGTCAGCAGTGTTGAGTCAACTTTGTCGAAGGTTTATTAATAACCAATGAATTCGACGTAGACATTGAACTGGCATCCTATGTTCTGTTCGATCTTGCTGCGTAAACTTGCGATTTGGTCAGCATATGATTTGCTTTTCCTAAATCTAGACTGTTCTGACTGGCAGAGTTCTGCGTCCAGTGTACCTTTTATTCTCTCCAGGATGATATGACTCAATGTTTTGGTCTACGCCGACAACACAGTGATTCTAAGCCACTTCTTGCAGAGGTATAAGTCATCCTTCTTTTATCCATTGGGGCTTTAACACAGGACCTTCTGGTTTCAATGAATTGTCACAAGGAGAAATTACAATCAGGAATTAAAATGCCATTATAAATAGGGGGACGGATAAAACTCAAACAAAGTAGAATCACAATTATTGAGAAGATTGACATATTGTTCGTTTGGGGGTTAGAAATGTAGAAATAATAAAATGATAGAATAGGCGGGAAGTTCGGATATGAAAATATGGTAGTGTAAATAGGGATTAAGGAAAACTTAAAAATAACATGAATAAACAGGAAGTTTGGATAAGAAAAGCAATGGGATGTTCATTACTAAAAGAATTACCTGTTTATGATGGCCATGGAAGGGACAAGGGTTGAACGTATTTCTTTTGCATAACTAGCGTGGGTTTAAGCTTTTGGATGTCTAGTGCCTCGACTATACCCAGATGTCTTGATTTCACTCTCTTTCGATAGGTTTGATAGAATCTTGTATATGATTTTGAAGGATTTTTCGAATGGCGCTGAGTGTCCTGAGTTGCCCAGATGTTCTGTCACTGAACTATATATACGTTTTCATCCTCCTTTTACTAGCCAGTCTCGATAGTGTTCACGAGCGCGTTTTTCAAGTTGGTGAATGGTACAGCTGATGTACTCACCTCTGCACTTCCCGTCTGTTTTGTTATTTTATTATTTCTACATATTTAATCCCTGACTGCATAAACAATTTTTCGTCACATTAGTTATGATCCCACTAGATTTTGTACCCAGTTATCCTGTCTGTTTTTGTTATTTCTACATTTCTAACACCTAATTGCACAATATGTCAATCTTCTCAATAATTATGATGCTACTTTGTCTGAGTTTTATCTGTCCCTCTGTTTATTGTGGCATTTTAATTCCTAATTGTAATTTGATTAATTTGACCCTTGATAGGAAATTATTCTGAAACTTTGTCACCCATTATATATGTCCAAACCAAGTTCACTTTTATCAGTTTGAAAAAATTTAGGCATTAGGTATATGATATTCATTATTATAAAAGTTTTTGTATTTCCCAATGAATGAAAAACAAAACGATGTTGTTTTTACTGACGTTTCGATATTTGATACTGCTAATAGCTTTATCAAAGTATTATTAAACCGGAATTTACAAAATCCACTCAGCTTTCATGTAATAAAGAGGTAAGGGGTGAGAAAATAGACTTGGGTCAAGTTAAAGGGACATACTGAAAGTCAAAATAGCAATGAAGATCACTAGACCAAATAACAAAGGTAATAGTACATCTGTTATGGTATCAAAACAAAGTTTACTAACTTGATCATCATTCGTTAGCCTGGGGTCATTTTTCGTTGTCAAGTTGATCATTTGGTAAAGATAACAAAACCAAGTGTAGATTGTTGGATTTGATAAGTGTGTAAAATTATAAATGCAGTGTGTGTTTACATAGTGAACTTGCATATGACATTCGTGTTGAATTTGTCACTTCATGGGGGAGGGAGGTGTTGTAACCAGGTCAGATTCTGTTTTAGTCCATCATTCCCATCCACCAGATAATGTGGATTCCACTTGATATGAAGTGCTTCTGATACTAGATGTTCTTTGTGATTTCTGAAGTTTTTCTGGATTATTTCAATATTGTCAAAATCAATTTTGTGGCCTGATTCTATAGCGTGTAGACCTATGGCTGACGATTTTTCAAGTTTTTCCAGTTTAATTGGATTTCTTGTTGGTCGAACAGATGCTCTACGGTGTTCATTTCTTCTGATTCTGATTTCTCGCTATGTTTGTCCAGCGTATATCGAATCACATTCCAAGCATTTTATTTTATAGACACAATTAGATAGAGAATCTCTAGGGATTTGGTCTTTATATGGACAAGGTTGGTTCGTAGTGTGTCTGATGTTTTTAAAGAAAATTCTAATGTCGAGCTGATTGAATACTCTTCTGATATCATCTGACGTCTCTGCTCTATATGTAATGACCGCTGTCGAGGTCCATGTTTTCGAAATGCGTTTTTCACCCATTTATTTTAAATGCATGAGTGTACGTCTGTCTAGCTGATAACTTCGTCGAAAATAAAATTTTCTTTTTTCGCTGCAACTGTCTTTTCTTAATTATTCCCTATGATGAAATGTGTATATTCCGTGATAAGAAGTTGAAATTCTCACATCACTCGATCAGGCCTCACTGGCTTATTAGTCTACGAACTTGCCTCAAAACCAGAAGACCCTAAGCTCTAACGCTGGTGGCGGGTGGGCACTGCTGAAGAGTTCCACTTGAGAACGAAACATCTATCCACCATTACTCCCAGGTTTCTCTAACTGTTTATTTCATTCACATGTGTCTGTTAATAGAAAGCTTTGATAAACAATGAGGTCAACAAGATATGTTGGTAGATTAACTCTCATATTGCATTTATTATTATTATTCGTTGCTATCCATATTTACATACACACATACATACATATAGAAGCTTTATTCATTATCACAGTTTTATTATATTTTACTCTAACAGGTTGTATTTGTTGTTTAACGCTTTCATGCTGCATATATATATTCGACAGCTATTCACTAACTGACTCGCTTACTGGCTAACTACGTGCGCACTCCAACACATACAAACACACATGCACACGTGCATACATCCATGTCATAGATAGATAGACAGATAGACAGACAAACACACAACATAAAGAACCAAAAAACCAAAAAAAGAAAAACTTTAGAACTTGTTGAACTTCGATCTACATATAAAAATAACATCACATTACACACCGGAAGAGAATTTTTATGTTTTTAATGGTGAGGTGGAATTTGATTGGTTCAGTTGTAGATATATATATATATATTTATAATATTTATTTATAATGATGAAAAGGTTAAATAAACACACGATACTATTTTACTAGAGAACAGGTTGTACACACATTCTCCTATGCATTGGTGATTTAATCATATCTGTATTGCATTCTACGTCGAGGAGGCGGTGGAGAAGGTGTAAGTAGTGAGAATATAACCACTCCTCATGTAACCATGGTGACATATAAACATTTTCATCATTTCTTATGATTACTCTGATTGGGAATATAAAGAATACGCGGTTTATTATTGTTAATATTATGAACTGTTGAAAATATATACATTTGATGGGATTTATGATCCTTAAATATATTTAAATTTCATTTTGGGTAAGTAAAACTAGTATGATTATTTTATTTATGATTATTATGTTCAATCACTCGTGAGCCCGAATAACTCAGTGGTAACGTCTCTGACTCAGTGCAGCACTGGGTGACGCGGGTTCGAGTCTCAGAAGCCAGGACAGATACGCCGTGCTGACTGTTGAGGGCCAGCTAGCACGGAACCCAGGTTAGGTAGGGCTTCCTGTGGCTGATTCCCTCCAACCATCTAACGACATGATTATTTATTTAATTGAAGTTTTCTATTTCTCCACTGACAGTTTGTTGAGTATAGAGAGATAATCCTCAGTGTTTGGTGACATGTGGACATGACCTCTGAAGATTAATTGAGGGGTGGTGAAATCCGCGGTGTGTAATTTGTCCCCTTGCAATAATAATAATAATAGCTTTATTCCGAAAGTCATGATATCATTTCCAGTTTACTTGATGATTCTTCTTCTCACCAAGAGTGTTTCTTCCCCCTAATCCTTTTGGTTTTTTTCTCTTTGCTCATTATTACAACTATTATTATTATTAATAATATTATTATTATTCGTCATAATTTATGCCCTTCATGCAAACATTCTCTCAATACCATCGAATTTTCCATTTTATACTATCCGGACTTATTATTAGTGATATTATCTCTTTTCTCAATATATGCCTCCACCTGTTTCATTTCACATATTCGTTATTTCATTATGAACCTCTCATTGCAGTTTTACTATCTCCTGTTTGATACATACCACTTTGTACTAGCCACTCACTTGCTCGACACTGTCGAAAGTGAAGTTGGTTTGGACATATATAATGTAGAGTATTTTCAGCCGATTTCATTGGATCAGATTTCCTCTTCATTCAGCATCTTTAAATAAAAAAATTGTGCAAAACAGTTTTATCTGACCTGAAAGGTGGAAACCAATCCATCATAATGATGATATCTCTCCTTTTTCTCCTTTGATAACTACACGATGACATTTTGTTGAATACCAATTATAAAAAGTTCAACAATACATTTTGTGAACTGGGAACATCACTCAGTAACGGTCAGCTCATGTATTGGGATAAGCTGCTATCGAGGATTTTACTTCTCACGTTTAGTAGAAACATGAGAATTAGCAGACTGTAAATGTTTTAAATACTTATCAGAGTAGACAATATTTTTAGAGGTCATATTTTACTAGGTTTAAATAAGTTGAATTAGTGAAATTATAATGCAATAAATATTGATGAAGGTTTTTGGTAGCCCAAGTTTTAAGCACACCGCCACAAAATATGCCTGCGATCATTCTACGGGAAACATCAAATTAACCCATATAACAAGAGATGAATCTCGTAGCCTAGATGGTCCAGTAGATAACGCTTTAATGTTTGAAACAATGGCTTCTGGGTTTGAGTTGCAGCGTGAATACCATCTCTCACCTACTCACTCACTCACTCACTGAGGAGTGCAAGCACATACACCAGTTATTGAGCATCAAATATCAAGAGTTGATCCTGGATTGCATAATGCAATTCTCCATCCATCATATAACTGGGATGAATGACTATACTTATTATAGACACGTATATATCAGACTTGGCTTAAACAACTACACTATAGGTTCAAGTATCAATAGAATATATATTCTAACCAATTGGACTTTTAGTGTTATTTTTAAATACAATATAGTTGCAGTGTAATATTATGTCAATCAACTTGATGGTTAGATTGCATAATTTGTCAACAATATCTGTAACTTCATACTTAAAATGAATGCCACCTGAATTCAAGCGATGACGATTTATTATTTATTATAATCCCCTTGGGTTCCGAGTGGAGTAACTCCACTTTGTCCAGTTCTCTATACTCCTCTGTAGCTGACCCAGCGATTATCCATAAGCTCTCACCTCCTCCTATTCCTCCTCAGACAATCTCCTCAATCTCAATCGGCTTTTCCTATTCAGGTTGCACTCGAATGATGGCCTAGCACATGAGGTGTCATTCAACGGCCTCTTTAGCATGTGTTCGAGCTACCCATCTCCACTTTCATCGGAATATTTGTTGGGCATTAATTTCTTGACTGATTCGTTCCCAGAGGTTCTTGTTGCTAACTCGATGTATACACATAACATATAGGAATGTTGGAGACGATTCTTAATAAACGCTGAATCTAGATACCCTACATTATTGGCAGCTATTCAGCAAGGTGCATCTGCAACTTGGAAAAAACACGTCTCCACATTCCTAAGTGCAGAAATCAAAGACGTTAGTTACCACTGAGCAGTTCCGATTTCGACTTACTAGCCTGTAGGACTGAGTTGAATATTATTTATTGATCACTACATAGTAACTAGTGTTGTTTAATTCCTAATACTGACCGAAAAGTGATCGCCGAACTCGGGAAGTCGGTATGAAAGTTCACTGTTAATTGTAGTTAAATGGTCAGAAGCAGTTAGCAGGACTATAGACCCATTTTATCAAGGATTATATGCCCTCCGTCTCATTTTGGTCATTATGTCATAACATTACACTGAGTTCGCTAGGGATTTGGAGATATTATTGATTATAGATAAGCTTGTCATTTCATAAATAGTCTTGATTTCTATTTTGGTGACGGGTTTATATAGTGAGACTTTTGGCTAGTTTAACCTTTCTTATCTTTGTATGAGTCCAAAATCTAACGTAAAAGAAATGATTTAACTGTAAAACTTTTTGTTTATTTGGATTCCAGTGCCTTCCAAGCGGGTTGTATGACTTCAGGCTTTGAATTTTCACTCGAGATGATAATATTTTCCTTACGGAATGGGGTCTTCAGTCTCTGAAGCGGTGAAAAACATCGATGTTCGTCAGGGATGCCCACCAATGTGCTCATTTCTGATTAATTTCATCCTAAATGTACTAATGGACTTACTCTTACTCACTTCAGTGACTCAGGGATTGACTTGTTACAACCAGGGAATAATATTCTCGTTGACTTAGAATACGCAGATGATATAGTCCTTCTAGGTGAGGTGAAGACGCTGAAAAAATGCGGAGTCTTCTGAACACCTTGAGCAGCACTTTCCGAATGTTTGGCATACGATTCGCTCCCATCAAATATGAGATGATAAGGCTTCAGGGCTGAACTGGACTACACCGACTCACTCCTAGCTTGAAGATAGGCAGAAGTGAAGTGGTTGCTGGGCGTATTGACCACTTCATTTGGGAAGCTGCATCAGCCGGTGCCAGCGGGTTGATCACTGATGCAATCTCAGAATGGATACATAAGGCTTCATGTGGAACATGCCAACTTACGCCATCTCTGGCTTACTAGACGTTATACCCAGCTGGCTGTAGACCAAAGGGCGTGTGCACTGCTCAGTAGTCTGCTCTGCCATCCTTTATGGCTATAAGACCTGTCCACTGAAACTGGAAGACATGAAAAGCCTGGTCAGCTGTCTTTGATCATAGGTGTCTGAGTTCTATCTCCCGTGATAAGTGGTATAATAAGGTGAACAATATTGAGGTTAGGCTTCTTCAGTGGAGTGCTAGTTAAGTAGGGTAAATCAAGTGACGAGGTTCTGAAATTACATTGATTGAGAGAGATGGTTAGGACACGTGTTACTCATGCCTAACCACAGCCTTCCGCGACAGACAGTGTTAGCTGACAAAGGATGGGTGAGGTTGGAAAAGAGAAAGCTAGTGTTGATCAAACCAAAACATGGCTTCATAAGTCAGTGAAATCCATAAGAGTTAGTTTAAGCCAGCCAATCACGTAGGGAGATGTAGACTGACTAATCGGGGTCCTCACTTGTAAACTCACCATTAAATGAAGAATATAATTCACATTTGAATCAGAAAATGAACAGGGAGAATTAGCTATGTTAGATTGTAAAATAAAACGAGCAGGAGAAGATAAACTGCGCACATTAGCGTTTATACAAAACCAACGCATTCTGCTAATAGATATTTAGACTTTAACTTATCTCATCCGTGCGTTATCTGTTAAGGTAGGCTTAGTCAAGTGTCTAACAAAGTGAGCAGTAGCACCAAGTAGTACAACACAATACCTAAATGATGAAATGAAACAGATAGAAGAGGCGTTGGTATTAAATAACTATCCTATAAAATTCATTAGGAATGTCAAAAAAGGCTGAAAATAAAAATAAAAATAGTGGTGAAACCAATAATGACAACGTAAATAAGAGAGAATATAGGGCATCTACAGTAGTTTTACTATATAAGGTGGGGACATCTGAGACCCTACGTAGGCTTCTCAACAAAGGAGGAATTAGAGTGGCATTCAAAACTACAAACTCACTCAGAGACAAGCTCCGTAGTTTGAAGGATCCAATGAACTCAGTGTGAGTAACTCGATATGAGTATGAGCAATAATTTGTGCTCAAAACATCACCAGTAAATATTACTGTATAACACATTGTGTGATTTTATCAAAATAAAATCTTAAGCATAATAGAGAACTAGAAGCAATTATAAAAGACATAATACTCACACGAACAAATACAAAAATTTATTGATGCTTTAATGAGTATGCATTATATATTATGAGAAAAGTGTAAGGCATGAGACTATTAACTAACTGCGGAATAGTTTATAAACGGCCGATTTATACTACTTCTATTAACTGTTAACTTTAATTTTACATTCATAATTTTACTACCATTATTATTAATGTAAATGTGTAATGGTAATTATTTTACCCCTTACTAAGTAATGTTAGGGGAAATTAGATGCAATATTGTACTACATGCTGAGAATCCTACATTGTATCAAATGTACTGCTGATCAGAACGCCTTGCCTCTAGTGTTCTTGTCTTCACAGAAGTGCTCTGCATTGTTTTACACTCAGAAGTAGAGGGAGAAAGTGTAATAAGACTGCCATAAATGGGGATGGAGGATATAATGAACAACTAAATAAAGACCAATTAAAATATTCAAAATCCGGAAGATGACGAGAGGTGAGCACCATTACACGGAATTACGAATAGTTTCAAGCCTTGCTACAGACAGTTTTCTGGTATTGATT